ATGTCCCGCCCTCTGAGCCCTGGGCCTACTCTTGGCCCAGAGCTTCAAGCACACCCTGGGCCACCCTGCGGCCACCCTGCTGTCACCAGTCCCCGCTCAGCAGTGGGCCCGTGTCCCACCTCAGCTGCCCAGATGGGAGGCTGGGCGCCCCCCTCCCCGCTACTGAGCTGAGGCACAGGGTGGTGACATGACTTGCTCAGAATGAGGTCCAATTTGAACGTGTGTCCTTTGACTCTAGAAACTGTCTGTCCCTGAGGCTCAAGGACTGGTGGGAGGTTGATGCTTCTCAGAAGGAACCACGTCCCTTGAGGACCCACAACCCCTCCCTATGCCAGGATGCGGGTTCCTCGGTACACTGGCGCGGCCGGCTGGAGGCCCAGGGCGTGTGGCCCAATGGGGGCGAAGGCAGGCCGAGCACAGGGCTGTCGAGGCCCTGTCTGTGAGGGCCACGGCGAGGCTGGCTTGCCCCCCTAAACCTAGATGTGAGGAAAGAGGAATGGGGCTCAGGGTGAAAGGCCAGCAGTGGAGAGGGTGGAGCAGGGGTCCCCAAGGCCACTGTAAAGACTGTGACTTCCCCACTGCCCCGCCCCCCAGGTTCCTGTGCCCACCTTTCCTACCCCAAGATTAGTCATTTCCCACTAACCTTTGCTAACGTGTTAGCCAATATCTGGTGTATTTGCTTCTCTTAGAGGGACTGGCTGCTGAGGACGGAGTGAGCTCATGAGGGCAGGATCAGGGCATAGAACAGTGCCTGGCACACACACAGCAGGCTTTCAAAAAGACAAGGGAAATGTCGAAGGAAGGAAGGAAGGAGGATGGATGGAAGGGAGGGACAGAAGGAAGGATGGACGGAAGGGAGGGAGGGAAGAAGGACTAAGTAGACACTGGGGTGCCTTCCAATGGGACTTGCCCCCCCTCCCCCGCCCCCATGGATGGATGCTGAGGAAGAGGCCTTTCAAGCTCAAAAAATGGTAAATGGTGGAGGAATGAAGGCAGGGGCCACCTTTCCCTTCATTCACTCAACAAACACTTGTTGAGCTATTTTGTCCTGGTTTTATCTATATAATAAAAGCTTAAGTGACCCTTACGGAGGAACGACCAGAACGACCAGTCACTATGATGCACACTGACCACCAGGGGGCAGATGCTCAACGCAGGAGCTGCCCCCTGGTGGTCAGTGCGCTCCCACAGGGGGAGCAATGCTCAGCCCGAAGCTGTGCTCACGGCTGGTGAGTGCAGCGGTGGTGGGAGCCTCTCCTGTCTCCACAGCAACACTAAGGAGCAGTGAGCAGGTGGGCAGTAAGGAGTGAGGGGTCCCAGACTGCAAGAGGGTGCAGGCCGGGCTGGGGGGAACCCCCCCACCCACCCAGTGCACGAATTTCATGCACCAGGCCTCTAGTTGAGATATAATTGGCATACAAGGTTGTGGTTGCTTAAGCTGTGCAGCATGTGACTTGATAAATGTCTGTATATGAAACGTTGCCATGATGAGCTAGGTAGGTAAGGTTCATCGCCTCACCAGTAACACGTTTTTCCTCTTGAGGACTTTTAAGATCTATTCTCCTAGCAGCTTTCAAACATGCAACACAGTGATATTAGCTGTATCTCCATGCTGCACGTTACGTCCCATCACGTATTTATCTTAAACTGGAATGTGTACCTTTGACCCCTCCACCCATTTCCGCCAGCCCCCACCCGCTGCCTGTGGCAACCAGCAGTGTGCTCTGTGTTGAGCTACCGAGCACCTGCTCCGTTCCAGGCATTGTTCTAAGTGTGGAGGCACAGCAACAAGCACAGCAGAGCCCTTGCCCTCCTGGACCTGCCAGTCCAGAGGCCGCTAGCCCCGGAGGTTCCAGTGGGTTGAGGGGTGGACACAGGGAGAGGGGATGCACAGCGACCACGCTGTGAGAGGTGACCCCTGAGTGAGACCTGAAGGATGAGCAGGAGGCAGTCATGCAAGCAGCCGGGGCTCTGGCTGGGGAGCACCCGGTGCCAGGCCGGGAGGCAGGACCCTGTGCACATGTTCAAGGAATTGAAAGGCAGGTCTGTGGCTGAAGACAGTGAGCGAGGAGGCCCAGTGAGTGTGGTGGCAGGCAGGAGGCAGGACTGAGGGTGGGGTTTCTCTGTGAGTGTGAGCTATACTCATCAAGGGCTTCCTTTGCAATGTTTTAAAGATAACAGAGGGGCCCTGAAGGGTCCTGGGTTCAGGTCCAGGCAAGGGCAGGTACGGGGTGCGTGCAGGAGGCACCCGATCGGTGTGTCTCTCACATCCACGTTTCTCTTACTCTGTCTCTAAAAACCAATATTGATACGTTATTATTAACTGAGATCATATCCAGAGTTTGTGCATTCATTCTTATTTTTATAACATATTGTCTTAAAATACTATTTATCTTGACTCCTGAGATGTTTGGAGCTCCTTTAATTTTCTCCTGAGGTGCCTTGCCCACCTCGCAGGAGTCGGGCCGCTTTCTGTGACTATAAAAATGTGACTGCCCCGCGTCCTCTCCTGGGCGGCCCAGGGGGTGAGCCTGGTGGCCCTTTCCGAGCAGCGAGCGGCGCTG